CGCATGCACGCTCCCTGCAAGGCGGCCCGGCACCCAGGGCAAGGGCACGGGAAGAGGGTGCTCCAACGCCAGGGCGCAGGGTGGTCGCGGTGTCTGCCACCCGCAGCGCAGAGCCCGGCTCGCGGCAGGGACGACGTTTGGATGCTCGGTGCGCGGGGAGGGGAGGGGGAGGAAAGCGAACGTGTTTGGACACCAAAAAAAGGAAAGGAAGAAAAAGTTGGTGAGGGAGCCACCCCGAGCGACTTTCCTGGGCGAGGAAGAGCTGTCTCCCCCGGTTTCCAGTAACGTGCCACCCAGCTGCGCTGGCCACAGCGGGGCTGTGGGTGAGAGGCCCCGTACCCCACTTCAGGGCTCTTCCTCCAGCACCGTGTGTCCTCGTCCTCCTAGGGCTATCACAGGACACAGCAGAGCCCTGAGCCAAGCAAGGTGGGAAGATGGCCGAGAAACTGGTGTCCGGAGACCTGTTCCTGAGGAAGGCCCGGGAATCGGTGTCATCCCTGGACTCGGATAAGCTGGCACCCATCTCACCCGAGGCAGGAGGAGAGGAGTCATCCGACAGTGAAGGGGAGCAGGAGGACAGTTCCCACAAGCTCATCCGGAAGGTGTCCACGTCTGGGCAGATGAGGAGCAAGGTCAGGGACGTGCGGTCTCTACGCATGGGGTCAGCTTGCGCGTGGGATCCTGCGGGGCTCACTGAGATCGGGGATTGCCTTCACCTGCCCTGGGGTGTAAATCCGTGTGAGATGCTTGCTTGCTACTTGCAACCCAACCAAACCCAGACCAGCCAGCCAGCCGGTACCCAGGCACTGGGCACGCTGCAGCGGGGGCCAGGGCAGAGCCAGGAGGGGCCTGAACCCTGACAGAGAGGTGCCAGGACAGCATGTCCCAGCGAGGGCATGGGCAACGTGGTAGAAACCCAGTGGTGTCGGGGTCAGCAGTGGCCCTTGGGGGCTGTGCATTTGGGGACAGCAGAGCAGAGATGTTGCCCCACTATTAGGGAGCAGGGGCTCTCCCAGTCCAGAATCCCCCTCCTCTAGATCGCCTGGGTCCCGTCGGTGAGGGATCCTCCGGGTTTGGACATTCGACTTAGGAACGGGCTGCATTTCATACTTGTCTGTGGCTGGGGAAAGGGGGCTCCTTCAGGAAGGCTTTGCCGCCACCCAGACTGTCCCAGGATGAAATTTAGGGTCCGTGGCTCAGCCAGGCAGGTCGGAGAGCTGTGGGGAGGGAAACCTGTGTGCCGACTGCACGGCGGGATAATGTCACTCCGTAGGTCGTCACGGCACTGTGGGCCCCTGGGATCAGCTCCCCTGCAGCAGGCATTGCATGTGCAAGGCTCAGTGGGCGGCTCAGCTGAACCTCTGTCTTTCCTCGGTCCCCACGTTAATTAGGCCATGCCAGGTCCCCTGTGGGCACCTCTGCCACTGCCTTCCCTAGATTAAATTGCTTATGATGTTGTGCTGGGTGGACGGGAACACCTTTGACACAGGACATGATGCTCCTTTGCTCCTCTCCCTGGCCATTGACACGGGAGGCAGCTTGCGCGTGTTGGGGAGGCTTGTACAGAAGAAGCTAGTTTGGTAGGACCTGCAAAAATATGGGGTGGTGGCCCTGCTGTACAAGCAGAAACAGGTGGGCATGTGTGCCCTGTGAGGGGTGGAAAAGAGGATGGCGAAATGGCCAGGCATCTTCTGCCCGAGGCACAGGAAGGCTGGAAAAAACCCCATGTTGGATGGACTAGTGAGAAGAAAGGGCTAGAGAAGGAGGCATGTAGGGGGCCTTTATTGGCAGGGAGGATCTAGGGACAATGCAGGGAGGAAATCAGTGCCAGGCTCTTAATGAAATGATGGGAAAGTGGTCTTTTGAATCCACCTCCAGGCTGCATGCAGCAGCCCAGAGCCTGCAGCTACCGTATAGCAGGATTAGATGGTGGTGCGAGTGAAAGCGGTATCTGCAGTGCTCACAGGAAGGGCCCCAGCTGATCCCCCGGCCAAATGTCGCGCCTGGGGGTATGCAGGGGTTCGCCGCCATGGAAAGCCTCTCCCCGGGGGGCCAGGCTTCATTGCACCCCCTGCCCCAACAGTGCTGAGCCCGGCTGGACACGGCGTACCCAGCTCACTCTCCCCTGGCTGCCCCTCTGCACGGGGATCAGTGGCTGGGCTGGCTGCGCTCGC